AAAAAAAAACTATGGCTGGAGATGTAGCACTGGGGTAGGTAGAGTGCTTGTTTAGCTTGCACAGATGAGGCCTAGCGCTGAGGTCAGGGGTAGAAGGGTGAGAGAGAGGAAGAGGAGAAGAAGAAGATGAAAAAGGAGCAGGGGAGAATTAAGTCAATAGTTTAACAGTACATCCATTGGAAGCAGGGGTGGGTGGGTGGAAGGGGATATGCCCATTAACTGTCATTATGGAAAAGTGTAAGCATAGGAAATAACAGCATTTCTGACAGGATAATTGTGTGAGATGGCAGACAAGTTCCTGTAAGCATGTACTTCCCAGATAAAATCTCATGCACCTTCCTTTTTTATTGTAAGTTCTTTTGCAGCCATGGCTGGGGAGCAATCAGACATGACTAAACTTTTCCCAGATGCAGAGGGACCGTCACCCCCGTCGAGCAGATAAGATACTGAGTCCAGGCCTCCAGCTGGCAGATCTGATCACCAGCTCTGTCTAATCTGACTCACAGGGACTCACAAGAGGTCAACGTTTCCTTTTTAAATGCGCACAAAGCAGAATGACATGCACCTCAGAGGCCCACTTTATAGAGAATGACACACATTTCACAGAAAGCTGGCAAGGAGCTCCCTCAAAAGAGAACCCGCTAGAGAACTGGGCATGGTGGCACACGCCTATCATCCCATTAGGGATTTAGGAAGCTTTGGCAGGAAGATCACTTCTAGTTCAAGGTCAGCCTGGACTACACAGTGAGTCCCAGGCTAACTTGGGATATAAATTGAAAACCCTCAATAAAAAACAAAACAAGACACACACACACACACAAAACAACCCTACTTGAGAAAAACAAAGTAAAATGTAAAGACATTCCTGGAGATTCTTATTGGGTGGTTTAGAAGAGAAGCCTAAGTTTTATGAGTTTTCTAGAAAATTCTAATGCATGGAAGCATTAATCTAGATGTTAAACTATATATATATATACACACACATACTTGATGTGATATTTTATGTGTATATGAATATATAATATACATGCATATATAAACACATAAAATACACATTATAATATATATTAAGACACACACACGTGTGCACACTTACACAATACTAATACACTTTCTAATTTTAAAAGCAAATAAATTGTTGATATTTATAATTAGTGAAATTTATTTATTTATTTTTATTTTGGAGGGAGTTAAGGTAGGGTCTCTTATAGTACACACTGGCCTCTACTCACTCTCTAGCCCAGAATGACTCTGAACTCTAGATCTTCCTGCCTCCACATTCCATGTGCTGGGATTACATGCAAATATATTGTGTATGTTCTAAATATATATGCCTAAATGATGTGTTTGTTTTGTACTTATTATGCTGTGAATTTTGTGTAAATACGCAGGTAGTTAATATAGCTTGTATCAGGAGCATTCAGGAGGCAGAGGCGGGAAGATCTTTGTATGTGTTTGTGTGTTAAGGCCAGTGTGGTCTACATAGTGAGTTCCAGACCAGGCAGACCTGCAGAGTGGAAACCCTGTCTTAAAAAAACCAAACCAGAGCCGGGCGGTGGTGGCGCATGCCTTTAATCCCAGCACTCGGGAGGCAGAGGCAGGCAGATCTCTGTGAGTTCGAGACCAGCCTGGTCTACAGAGCTAGTTCCAGGACAGGCTACAAAGCCACAGAGAAACCATCTCGAAAAAACAAAAAACAAAAAAAAACAAACCATGGACTGGAGAGATGGCTCAGAGGTTAAGAGCATTGCCTGCTCTTCCAAAGGTCCTGAGTTCAATTACCAGCAACCACATGGTGGCTCACAACCATCTGTAATGGAGTCTGGTGCCCTCTTCTGGCCTGTAGGCACACACACAGACAGAATATTGTATACATAATAAATAAATAAATATTAAAAAAAAAAAAACCATGGGCTGGAGAAATGGCTCAGAGGTTAAGAGCACTGGCTGCTCCTCCAGAGGTCCTGAGTTCAATTCCCAGCAACCATATGGTGGCTCACAACCATCTGTACTGAGATCTTGCGCCCTCCTCTGGCCTGCAGGCATACATAGAGGCAGATTGTTGTATACATAATAAATAAATCTTTAAAAAAAGAAACCATCTGGGTGGTGGTGGTGATCACTTGGGAGGCATAGGCAGGCAGATCTCTCTGAGTTGAATGTCAGCCAGGTAGTTGGATGTCAGCCTGGTCTACAAAGCAAGTTCTCGGACAGCCAGGGCTACACAGAGAAACCCTGTCTCGAAAAACAAAACGAAATGAACAAACAAACCAAAACCTGTCTTCAGGCATTAGTTACCCCTGGAGCTTAAAAATGGCTCTCCCCCCTCTTTTTTTAAGTAGTGCTGGAGATAGGGAATCTAGCTCATTGTAAGCACTCTACCGCTGAGCTACATCTTACAACTCCAATGAGTGCTTCTAATACACTTTTTTTTTTAAAAAAAATTATTTATTTATTATGTATACAGTGTTCTATCTGTATGTATGCTTGCAGGCCAGAAGAGGGCACCAGGAGGCCTCATTATAGATGGTTGTGAGCCACCATGTGGTTGCTGGGAATTGAACTTAGGACCTTTGGAAGAGCAGGCAATGCCCTTAACCACTGAGCCATCTCTCCAGCTTCCTAATACACTTTTAAAAGGCACTGGAGATAAAGGCAGTGAAAAGTACCTACGATCTTAAAGACAAGTGCTGACCTGTGCACTACCGGAGTCGTAAGGATTTACTGTAAAGCAACAGCAGCTGAGGCAGAACGACTGTTGGGGAAGGGAAAGCGGACAATATAAAACCAGAGTGTCGCTATGCAGACCTGCATCCCAACCATCTCCTGCCTTACACAATGGTGACAATGAGGTTCAGTAGAGAAAAATTATGGTCTTTCCACCTTGTCCTCCTATTCTGAGATAGGGTTTGTTTTAGCCCAGGCTGGCATTCAATTGTTATGTAGCTGAGGATGACACTGAGCTTCTGGTCCTCCAGCCTCCACTTCTGAAGTGCTGGGATCATCGGCAAGGGCTATGAAGCCCAGTTTTATGCCATGCTGGGGATCCAACACATGGGTTTGTGCATTCTAGGGAAGAGTTCTACCAACTGAGCTACACCACCAGTCCCAGAAAGGTGATCTTTGCAATCCATAGGATTAGGTCTCCTTAGTATTGTGGGGAACTTTAATCTCAATTTACATCTCAATATACACAAACTAAACTTCAAATAGGTATTAGAGATAGCTGTGACTAGCAAGACAATAAAGATCTTATAGGAAAACATATGACATGATTTATGACTTTGGAGTAGACAAAACAAAAAAAAATATTGAGATATGGTCTCATTTTATAGAGGCTGGCCTAAAACGCAGTACATAGGCCAGACTGGTCTCAAACTCACAGCCATCTGCCTGAGTGCCAAGAATACAGGTGAGAACCATTACATTTGGTTTTAAAAAAAATTCAGATGTGATACAGTCTGTATAAGGGGAAAATGATAAATTGGAAAACATTAATGTAAAGACTTTTGCCCCCAAAGATATCATTAGGAGAGTGAGGACGGAATCTGCTGAAACAGAGGTGATGTTTAAAAATATGTATTTAGCTGGCAGTGGTGGTGCACACCTTTAATCTCAGCACTCGGGAGGCAGAGTCAGGCGGAGATCTATGAGTTCGAGGCCAGCCTGGTCTACAAGAGCTAGTTCCAGGACAGCCAGGGCTGTTACACAGAGAAACCCTATCTTGGAAAACAAAACAAAACAAAACAAATGTATCTAACGATATGCCTTTAACTCCCAAATATTTCAAGAACTCCCATATGCTGCTGAGAGGCATGAATGGAGAGAAGACTTGAACAGTCATCTCACAGAAGGGATATTCAAATGATCAGCAGACAGAAAGATAGATGCTCGGTTTACCGTCCTCAGAGAAATGCAAATTGAAACCTCAGAGCATCAACACTGGGCAGTCAGCAGAAACAGCTACAGAAAGGACACTGGCTGGAGCTTAATAAGGACAGAAGACTACGCGTGCACAACACTGCTGCTGGGAGTGCGGGGCTAACCCAGGCTGGCCAGCCTTGACCTCACCTCCTCTCCGCTCCACTGTGCTGAGAGTACAGGTGTCTGCTGTGCTACCCAGAAAGCATAGCCTTCTTTTTTTTCAAACTTAGAAAATATTAATGTGTTTGGATGTTTTGCCCGTGTGTATGTCGGTGTACCACTTTCCTGCCAGGTGCCTGCAGAGGCCAGAAGAAGGTATCGGATCCACGAGGGTTCTGAAGATCGAACCAGGGTCCTCTAGAAGACCCTCTTAACCACGGAGCCTTTGCTCTAGCACCAAGCACAATTATTTTGGAAAGATGCTGCACACTATATAATCAAACCGAGCAATCACACACAAGTCACACTACTCAAAACAGGCCAAAGATGAAAACAAGCACGTCCATCAGTAAAATGCAGTCCATCTTTCTGACAGAATATCATACATCATACATACGCGCATACAAAGACTTACTGTTCTGGATGCAGGTCACACACACAAGCCTGTGAAAAGTGGTTTGGCGGGACTCAGGATCTGTGCACTTTTCCATACGTTTGTTACGTATTGTTTCTTAAAGTCTGAAAACAAAGCAGGCAAGATTTCCACTGAGTCATTCCCGGGTAGGTGTGTCAGCTAGAGTACTCCCTACTTCCTTCTCTAGTTGGCACTTCTCGGGTTTCTAGATTACCTGCCACCCAGTGGACCAGAGTCCGAACTATTACTACACCCCCTTGGTTCTTGGCACGACAGTCGGCCCATTAAGTGACTGTGGTGGCAACAGAACACCGCCAGAGTCAATCCCAAGAGCAGGGGCCAGGTTGTGACCAGAGCAAGACTGCCAGGAGTCGGAGAGAGCCACCTGATGCGGCCAGGCTGCTGAAGCCCAGCCACAGTAACGGCCCCGCGCCCGCTGCGGTGCCGCAGGAAGGTGGCGGCTTTCCGGGAGTGCAGGACGGCGGGTTGGAAGGGGCGGGGCAGGGAAGCGGGTGTCCCAGGAAAGAAAGGAGCGACTCCCAGGGCCCGGCCGCCCACCGCCCGGGTCCCCGCGTCCCCACCGCCCGCTCACCTGCGCGACCCCGCGCTGCCGGCTGCAGGCTCTGCCGGGAAGTGCCAGCGCCCCGGCTCCCGGAAGCTCCTCGGCCGCCGCCCTCCTGCCCGCACCAGCCGCCCTCCGGCCCGCGCCCGCCCGCTGGTGTGCCCGCCCGACCCTAGGGGGCGCTCGCCCGTCTGCGTCGCCCAGGCTTCACCCACCGGCTGCTGAACCCTTGCGCCAGAGTTCCTCAGGGCCGCCGTGAAGTCCTCAGCCCAGGTTTGCCCCGTCTGAGCGCGTGGGAACGAGGAGAAAACTCCTCCAGCAAGGGAGGCACAGAAAAACGAGGCATTTTCCCGAAGGTCTCTCAAGGTAGGTTAAATGGTACCAAGGAGACGGACCAGCCCCGGGGAGGTGGACACCTTTATGGAAGGAGGGTCCTATTAATGTTGACGCCCACAGCCTGGAATGAGTCTTGCCAAAAGTGTTTGCCCTCAGGGCAGGGATTTCCGGATGGATATTCAACTGCAGTTCCCAGGGTACCAAACTACTGGGGGGGGTGGGGGGGGGGATTAGGCAAGATGTTGGCACGTCCTGATGAAATACTTAAGTTCTTTGCACCTACTTCCTATAGTTCTTGCTGTGAACTTTGTGACCCTCCAAGGGAATAATACAACATTTCCTTCCACAGAAATCTTCTTAAAATGTCAACCTCAGACTGAGCGGTGGTGGCACATGCCTTGATCCCAGCGCTCGGGACACAGACAGGCGAACCTCTGAGTTCCAAGACAGCCAGGGCTGTTACACAAAGAAACCCTATCTCGAAAAACAAAAGTAAACAAAGTCAACCTGAAAACAACGCCTATGAAATGCTGGCAGGTGGGAGTTTAATGGGAAGGTGTAAGGCCTTATCTACCCCTCTAGACTGATTTCTTTTGCTCTCCAGCCAGTCAAAAAGGATAACTTGGTCTGAGGGAGACAGTTTGTGCTGTGGAGGCTGTTCATGAGTGATCTTTCTAGGCTTACTCACCAAAATTACACTCTCTGGTTGCTGATGTTGAAAGAGATGACTATTCATCAGGAGAGCACTGGCAACCAAAATTCCTGGAAAGAAGTTGTGCCTGCAAACTCGGATTGATTAGACCAGTACTGAGAGGAGAGGTTGGGATGTTGCCTGTCCAGAGGCTAATCACCTTGAAAGACCCTACTGACCCCCTCCTCAAAACCCGCAGCTAGCATGCTGTGTGTGTGTGGGGGGGGGGGGGGGAAACGCCCTGTTTGCTTGAAAAATTCTCAGATCAGCAGCCAGCCTGCTCTCATAAGAACATTCCTTTTTTTTTGGGATAGCAGGATGTCTACGAGATAGGATGACTGCAAGGCAGGATATCAATAAGATAGGACATCAGCAAAGCAGGGTGACTGCAAAACAGGATATCTATAAGATAGGAACAGGATGACTTTTGCTGACACCCATGCTGAGAGAGGAAACTATTCATGCCCCCGCCCTCATTCTGATAACCACGCTTTTGCTTCTGTAAACTTGCTTTTTGCTCTTCCCTATAAAAAACCCGCCCTCCGGTTGGCAGGCGCGCAAGTCCTCCGAAAGACTTTGCTGCCCGCAGGTACCTGTGTCTACCCAATAAACCTCTTGCGATTTGCATCCGTGTGGTCTCTGCCTGTTCCTTGGGGTCGGGGAGGTTTCCTCCCGAGAGAAGGACCTCTTCGAGAGTCTTTCTTTTTTTTTTTTTTCAAGAAGTGTTGAAAGGAAAAAGCGTAAAAGGTATCTTGCATATTATCTCGGCTCACTTCATCCCTCCGAATAGCCATTCCTTGAGCATATTCCTAGCTGCACAACCCAAAAGCTAAGGATGTCATCAGAAAACATCTGAGGCCTTTAGGAAAGCTTCTCCCATCATTACATTGGCTTGATTTATGAATTTGTTCTGTAAAATTTTAAAACTTTGTGAAGCCATTTCCACATTGGGACATGTAATTTGGGGTAACCTAAATCTGTGTTCTTGAGCCTTGACCAACTCAAATATGGCTCAAGAATAAACGCTCATTCCCTTTACGGAAAGAGCTGTCCTGGGCTGGAGAGATGGCTCAGTGGTTAAGAGCACTGCCTGCTCTTCCAAAGGTCCTGAGTTCAATTACCAGCAACCACATGGTGGCTCACAACCATCTGTAATGGGGTCTGGTGCCCTCTTCTGGCCTGCAGGCATACACACAAACAGAATATTGTATACATAATAAATAAATAAATATTAAAAAAAAAAGAAAGAGCTGTCCTGTGTTTTTGCTATCAGCATCATCGTCGTCTGTGTTTGTGTCTCCTACAGTTGCTCACACTTGGTGAATGCTTTGCTCCTTGGTGAGGACATCTCTATCTCCCTGTGCCTAGCTGTGTTTGTAAAAAACAAAACAAAACAAAACCCTCTAGCCAGGCTCATTTCGCCTTAGGAAAGTCTTTCTTCCTCTTTTGTTTGTTTTTGAAGATAGGGTCTCCAGTAGACTTAGGCTAACCTCAAACTTGCTACATAATTTAAATGACCTTGGATTTTTCTGATCTTCCTGCCGCTGACCCCAAATTCTGGGATCACAGGCTTGTGCCACTTCACCTGGCCAGGAAAACCCTTAAAAAAGAAACTGAGGCTGAAGAGTGGTTAATATCACCTCCTGCTCTTCCAGAGGACCTGATGAGTCCCAGCACCCTCATCAGGTGGCTCACAATTGGCTGTAACTCCAGTTTTCCAACTTCCTCTTCTGGCCTCCACTCCCCTGCCCCCACAGCATAAATGCACAGACAAAATACAAATCTTAAACGTTATTACTATTGCATATGCATAGGTCATAGGACAGCTTTTGGGAGTTCTCTTTCACCTTGTTGAGGCAGGATCTCTCCTTTTTGCCATGCTATGTACTCTCAGCTGAATCCTGGGAATACTGACATACTGATATATGCAACCATACCATGTTTTTTTTTTTTTTTTTTTTGACTTAGGTTCTTGGGATTTAAATTAAATTGTCGGGCCCTTGGAAATGTTTTGAGCCCTTGGAAAGCCTTTTAAGTTCTGCCCTCCCCAGTCCTTCCCAGAAATCCCTTTGCCTTGGCCCTACCTCTCATTGCAGTATAGACTCCCTGGGGCCAGGGAAGGACCTTTGGGGTCCAGCAGGAATGCTTAGATGGACACTCAGACTACAGGACAAGCTCCGGGATGTCTGGGTTTGGGGGCAAAGATGAAGTCTTGGCCCAGCTCCTCACATAGTTTAAAGGGCAAGACAGATGTAATCGCATGCCCATAAAGGCTTTCTTATGGGATCAAATTAAAGTCCTGCAGGAACAGAGGATTCCTTAGGCATTAATGTTTATAGCACCTATTTCTTTGGACCCTTAGACTGTGATGGTTATACCAGATCACTATGGGGCACCTAAAGAGCTACCATCCAGGGCTAAGGAGTTAATTCTCTGGCCTGACTGACCCCAGGGGCTAAATAAAGCCTGTTGGCTATGCTCCTGACAAGTCCCCTCTAACATTTCAGTACTACCTGCTGATAGCTTTTCTGTTGCTTACTGCCTCATGCCTGGCTCTCTCCAAAGCACACACAGACTTAAGGTCTCCCAGCTGGCCCATCTCTCCTGTACCCTTCGCTATATGATTTCTGTTAGGAATTTTTCCTAGTGAGCTTTTTGCTGATGCAAAAATCCCAATCAAGCCAAATTAAGAAATATCCAGGTTTAATGGGATTCCTGTGCTCTTGGGTGGCCCCGAGGGGGAACCAGGAGGCAGCGAACGGGGGTGGGGGTGAGGGGGGCACAGGGGACCACCATGAGGGGACTTTCCGGGGAAGCAGTTTAAGTAGACTGGCGGAATGGTCAAGATTTTGGCGGGCTCATCTTGACACTCCTCTGGGGAGGGGTCAAGGCTTGGTGGGCACAGGGATGGGGCCTCCAAAGATGGAGGCAAGAGACCGGGGCTTGGGACTTACAATGTCTACCTCTACCTTTTACTTTTCATCCTCTCCAAAGGACTTTTGATGGAGCCATTTTCGCAGGAAGCTCTATTCTAATTCACTCTTCTGCTGCTACCATCTATGCCTTAAACTGCATTCCGTGGTCACCTCTGACCCGCTGGGTGCTGAGTTCAGCTGGCACGTGACATTTCTTCTGGTGCCTACTTCTTGGTTTTCACAATTCTACACTCCTGGATTTTCTCCTGCTTCATGGGTCCCTTCAGCATTCATTCAGTTCTCTCTAAGTGCCAGTGGGTCCCTTCAGCTCTCGTGTTTTCCCTAACCCTTTACTCTCCTTTGATGATGCTGTTGTTCTATGGCCTCTCTACAGCCCAGTCACCCATGACTGGTGTGGGATGTCCTTCTGTATATGTGTTGTGTTTATTGGTGGATGAATAAAGCTATTTGGGCCAATGACTTAGCTGCGTAAAGCCAGGCCGGAAATCGGAACAGAGATAGAGAGACAGAGTAGGTGGAGTCAAAGAGATGCCATGTTGCTGCCGAAAGAGAAAGACACCCACTAGAACCTTACCAGTAGACCACAGCATCATGTTGACACACAGATTAATAGAAATGGGTTAAAATATAACAGCTGGCTAGAAAATGAATGGACCATTGGCCAAACAGTGTTGGAATTAATATTGTTTCTGTGTGATTATTTGGGGTCTCAGCTTACACATGACACCTCCCACAGGTACTTTCCTTTCAGCATGTCCCACACCAGGCTACTCATTTTGCTGTTCTTCCCTGTGTCATTTCTGCGAGAAACATGGTACCCATTTGGCTGTTTAGCTGGAAACCTAGGAAATAATGGCTCCATTTCACATTGTCATTGTCACTACATTGCTCCATGTGTTATGTGTTTCCCACCATGACTGTCACCTGCTATTTGGGCTGCAACAGCCTTCATCTAGAACCTGTTTTCTGCCCTGCTCTGTTCTCTACAAGGTAACCACAGTGACTTCCCCAGATCACCTCTTGTGTTGGTGCTGAGGATCAAATCCAGGGCCATCCACATGCTGAGCGCTCTGTCACCAGGCTACACCTGAGTCAGAGGGAGTTTTTTTTTTTTTTTAAAGATTTGTTTATTACATATACAATGTTCTGCCTGCATGTATGTCTGTTTTTTTTTTTTTTTTTTTTTTAAG